GTTTTAAAAATCGAACGTTCTTTATACTTTGAAGAAGCTCGATGGCGATATATGCGACCTTTGAACATATTTGACATACAGTCTAACCACATAGCATTTCATCAACCCCCTAAAACAGTCCATAGTTTTACTTCAAAGTAATAAATCGGTACATGTCCGTTTTAATTATCTGTTTCTCCAAAAGATTCATGTTGCACACATATCATGTGCCTTGATAGGCTTTTGAATAGTGTCAATAAATATTTATATCTATTGAGAAATTCGTTATCTGGATCCATATCAACCAATTCCATAAACGATCTAGATTACGGGAAAGTATATCATTATCACAGTAAGGTCCCACTGGAACTTGAACACTTCTTCTAGTAAGAGATCGATCAAAGAAAAATTGAAGAACATGCTTACAATCATTAGGTCGGGCAAATGATGATACAAAATCAATTGCAAAGCATATGGTATATTTCTATTTCTACTATTTCCTTAGTAGGATTGAGGTAAAAATCAACAACTTTGAACTTACAGTTGCAGATCTTTTCCCAGTGCTAGTACGATCCGCCCGAGCGGTGATCTCACCTGGGCCAAGCATGTCGCTAGCAATTTCTTTAAATTCAGCTTTCTTTGAAACTCTAGATAGTTTTCCTAGAAAGATTGCTCACCTTTTGAAGCATCCGAAGTGAGCACGATTCCTTTTAGAGGTGGGCGATCTTCCTTCACTTGGCAACGCTTAGCGATAGTATGGATAGTCGCTGCGACGTTGTTTGCTTCCATGTAAATTGGTTCTCCAAACTAAAGTAATGTTTGACTTTGAAAAACCCGCGGTCTACCGTCTCATCGTGGTGCAAGGTTGCTGGGTGTCGAACTTCGAAGTACAGCGGAGGTTTATCCTAGAGCAGGCCTCCCCAACTAAGAAGGAGTTCGACTGTTTCGGCTCTCCTGTGGCCAGCTAAGAGTAGAAGCGCCCTGCCAAAAGCGCCACCTGCCACCGTGTGGCTGATTCAGTCGCTAAGTAGTTTCCTGATTCTACATAATATAGGTCAGCGAGCTTTTTTTGAAATTGGCGCGCTCTACTGCCAACTTTGCTTGGTTGCTAAGTTTGGGGAAAAATTCTATGTACAGCATGTACAAGAAAAAAGCCCTGCGCCATTGGATCACATCTCCGGCCTCGGATTTCATCAAGACCAGCGTCAAGTTGTACAAGACGCCGTGAATCTCGGACCAAAAGGACAAGCCAACAAAAGGTGCAGAGCATAAGACAATTGCCATGGAGATCTCTTGCTTTACACTCGCAACACCAAGACAGTCTCCACCATCGCTAATCCTCACGCCCCTCTTGAAGCTGCAGGGCGCAGCAACTACCGCGTAATTGC